TTCCTCATCATACTAACCTCTCCCTATATCTGCTTGAGTGTCATCACAACATATTAGGTTGGTAAAAAACTAATTGTGGCTTTTGCCATTACAATGACTACCTTCCCCCTTACAAACAATCCAAGAGAGAAAGAAGGAAGTCACAATGCTTTTTATGACCTAGTGTCAGACATCACACTCCATGATTCCCTGCATATTCAATTCATTAGAAGCAAGTCACTAAGTCCAGCTTATATTCAACGGGAGGGCAATTAAGATCCACCTCTTGGCCGGGCATGGTGGCTCACGCCTGTAATCCCAGTTACTGGGAGGCAAGAGAATTGCTTGAACCCAGGAGGCAGAGGTTGCAGTGAGCCAAAATCACGCCATCTCACTCTATCCTGAGAAGAGCAAAACTCCTTCTCAAAAAAAAAAAAAAAAAAAAAAAAAAAAAAAAAGAAAGGAAAAGAAAAAAGGACCCACCAGGAGAATCGCTTGAACCCAGAGGGTGGAGGTTGTAGTAAGCCAAGATCTTGCCGGGTGTAGTGAGGAGACCTCGTAAGTACCGAGGCAGGAGCCAATAGCCTCAGCCTATTTCCATATAAATAATGAAGAAGAAAGTAACTAGAAATATAACCACAGTAACTATTCATAGGAGATCTTAGTTATTCATAGGTGATCCTCATTCTTTTACTACGTCTCTCAGGTAGGAAGTGTGAACCTGAGGTGAGACTGTGAAAGCAATGACCCTAAGGCAAGATGCTTTAAGCCCTCTGCCATGCCCATAGAAGGGCTACTGGAGGGCTCCTTGGCTGTGCGGCAGCGCCAGTGCTGGGAAAGCGCCTGCTGTTTAGCCAGCTAGGAAAGAAGCTGTCCAAGATGGCCGAGATGTCTCCTTCCTCGGGGGAGTCAGGAGAAAACTCCGTTCCTCAATCCCTTGCGGCAGGCCTGATGATGTTAGGTAGGCCTGTAGATATCCCAGGGCTTAATTGTCTCTATGTGATGCTGTGCTTCAGTGGTCACGTTCCGTGTCCACTCTCATGTTCTCATTCTGCACCTGGCTCCTTTTTCTTAGAAAAGATAATCAGTAAAAGCAATATAAATCTTAATGTCTTTGTTCTTTCTTAACAAGTATGGAAAAGTGCTGATGCATTATGCTCCTTACCTCATCTTGGCTACCTGAAAGCTTTGGGCCCCCACCTATATGACATGTGATGTACTTGATCACCAACCACCAATGCCACGCCCTACCTACCCTGCCCCCAGCTGTGTACTCAATAAAAGAGTGTCCAGGCACTCGGGGCCATTGCTGGACTCCGCGCTTTTGTTGGCAGTGGACCCCTGGGTCCAAACTCTCTTTTCTCTATCTCTGTGTCTTATGTCTTTTATTCCTACAATTTCTCGTCTCCACATTAGCAGAGAGGGGCTCAAAGGACTCTGTAGGGCTGGACCCTACAGCCGGGGTCTCGCCATGTTGCCCAAGCAGTGTAGAATGTTGAGTATCATCCTCACTTGCCTGCCACCCATTTGATGTCAAAAGACCCCTCCTCCTGCCTCCCCACCCCCCAAATATCCCCTGGAGACAAAATTGCCCCAGTGGATCACCCGTGATCTAACTGATAGGGTACTCTGGCTATATGGAAAAACTGCTAAACTTGGAAGCAAAAGGTGAGTTTGAACCCTAGTTTTACCCCCTGAATATAGATGTTTATACACACACATTTCAAAACAATGCAAAAATTACCTGGCTGTTTAACTTCCTCTCTCTCCCCATTTCCTGCCTCTAATGGAATATTCCAACCCCAGAACAGCAAGTATTTATAACCCTCCTCATTCCTCTTGTATTTGCATCTTTCAGGCAGGAACACGTTTCTGTCCATTTCACCTGGACAATCCTGAGTCACTCTTCAAGACTAAGCTAAGTGCAGACACGCTAAAAGCAGGCCCCTAAAAGGTAGAGGTGGCTACCCCATGGCAGGAGATGGCTCAGAGGCTCTGATGAAACATGCAAAGCCACTAGGACCTTGGTTTTAATGTTAAGGGACATTAACATTCACCTAAACTTTACTGAAGATGAGCTGATTCTGGCTGAGGAAAACAAAAGTTGCCAGGAAGCTTCTCAGGAAGTAAAATTGAGGAACAGAGCTCGCATCTGACTCAAAGCAAGTCTGAAGAGACAGAACACAAGTAAGGCTTGGGTTCTTTGAAAACAGATTCCCAGTGATTGATAGGAGCTGGGGTTCAGAAGGTCTAGGTAGCTTCCTTTATCAGTTTTTTTTTTTTTTTTTTTTTTAGATGGAGTTATACTCTTGTCACCCAGGCTGGAGTGCCATGGCACCATCTCAGTTCACTGCAACTTCCACCTTCTGGTTTCAAGTGATTCTCCTACCTCAGCCTCCTGAGTAGCTGGGATTACAGGTGCCTGCCACCATGTCTGGATAATTTTTATATTTTTAGTAGAAACGAGGTTTCACCATGTTGGTCAGGCTGGTCTCAAACTCCTGACTTTGTAATCTGCCTGCCTCGGCCTCCCAGAGTGCTAGGATTACAGGAATAAGCCACTGTGCCTAGCCGCCTCCCTTATCTTAACAGACAAACTCCTCGGACTGTGCAGGGTTTTTTTTGTTTTTGTTTTATATTGTTTTGTTTCTTTGTTTTTTTGAGACGGAGTCTTGCTCTGTCACCTAGCCTGGAGTACAGTGGCATGATCTCGGCTCACTGCAACCTCCACCTCTCGGATTCAAGTGATTCTGCTGCCTCAGCCTCCTGAGTAGCTGGACTACCTGTGAGTGCCACCACACTGGGCTAATTTTTGTATTTTTAGCAGAGATGGGGTTTCACCATGTCAGCCAGGCTGATCTCAAACTCCCGGCCTCAAGTAATCAGTCTGCCTTGGGCTCCCAAAGTGCTAAGACTACAGGCATGAGCGACCTCTCCTGGCCTGTTTTGTTTTGAGATCAGATGGAGTCTCCCTCTGTCGCCCAGTCTGAAGTGCAGTGGCGCAATCTTGACTCACAACATCCGCCTCTTGGGTTCAAGCAATTCTCCTGCCTCAGTCTCCCAAGTAGCTGGGATTACAGGCGTAAGCCACCATGCCCAGCTATTTTTCTTTCTTTTCTTTCTTTCTTTTGTTTTTTTGAGAAGGCTGGAGTGCAGTGGCTTGATCTCAGCTCACTACAACCTCTGCCTCCCCGGTTCAAGCAATTCTCCTGCCTCAGGCTCCCAAGTAGCTGAGATTACCGTCACCCACCACCATGCCCAGCTAATTTTTGTATTTTTAGTAGAGATCAGGTTTCACCAAGTTGATCAGGCTGATCTTGAACTCCTGAAATCCTGACCTCAGGTAATCCACCCCCTTCGGCCTCTCAAAGTGCTAGGATTACAGGCATGTGAGCCACCACGCCCGGCCTGTGCAGAGTTTCAATCAAAGACTGGTACCCTGTCATTTTCGCCCAGTGAAAACAAGGAAGCTACGCAGAACAAGCCACATGCCCTATTCCCTGGGGAGGCAAGCTCCTCCTAGCCAGTCTCAGCCAGGTCTTGCCAGTCTGACACCTACAGAGCACTGAAAACCCTGGGATGCATCAACAAAATCATTCCCAAACACACTAAAGGAGGTGAACATGCCCAATACACAGTATTTCCTACCATTCTCTTCCCCACTTTTCTCACATTGCCTCATGCAACACATCGTCCCTCCATTTTTGTCAGTCTCTTTCCTAGACTCTTCAAACTCCACCTGTTCTGTGCCTCCTCTCCAGGTGAGCCCCTTCCCTTGTAATCTTTCAAATTCTGTTCTTCACTCTGATGCTTACCTCTCAGTCCTTTCCAACAGATCAGGCTAGTCTCTGCTTCCTCAGGTTTTCAGATCCACCCACTGACCCAGCGGGACAAAAAAAAATTCCAGGATCTGTAGTTGCCAGAGCCATAGGTCTCTTCTAGGAAGAAGAGCAAGGTAGAGGGCGATCATGCTCAGATAATTAAGTTTCATGTCACAGAAGGTAAGAAAAATATCCAGATGTCCCTCACTGCAGGACTTACCCTCCTGTTAATGGCCCCAACCCTCTGCCCCTCTGCCCTTGTGGCTTTTTTTTTTTTTTTTTTTTTTTTTTTTTGAGACAGAGTTTCGCTCTTGTTACTCAGGCTGGAGTGCAATGGCGCGATCTTGGCTCACCGCAACCTCCGCCTCCTGGGTTCAGGCAATTCTCCTGCCTCAGCCTCCTGAGTAGCTGGGATTACAGGCACACGCCACCATGCCCAGCTAATTTTTTTATTTTTAGTAGAGACGGGGTTTCACCATGTTGACCAGGATGGTCTCGATCTCTTGACCTCGTGATCCACCCGCCTCGGCCTCCCAAAGTGCTGGGATTACAGGCTTGAGCCACCGCGCCCGGCCGCCCTTGTGGCTTTCTAACCTCACCTCTACTTTTTTTTTTTTTTTTTTTTAATTTCTCAGACGAAGTCTCGCTCTGTCACCCAGGCTGGAGTGCAGTGGCACGATCTTGGCTCACTGCAATCTCTGCCTCCCAGGTTCAAGTGATTCTTCTGTCTCAACCTCCCAAGGAGCTGGGATTACAGGTACCTGCTACCAAGCCCTGCTAATTTTTGTCTTTTTAGTAGAGAAAAGGTTTCGTCATGTTGGCCAGTCTGCTCTCGAACTCCTGACCTCAAGTGCTCCACTGGCCTCGGCCTTCCAAGGTGCTGGAATTATAGGTGTGAGCTACCACGCCCAGACTAATCTTTTTTTTGTCGCTTTTTTTTTTTGAGATGGAGTCTTGCTCTGTCGCCCAGGCTGGAGTGCAGTGGTATGATCTCAGCTCACTGCAACCTCTGCCTCCCTGGTTAGAGCAATTCTTCTGCCTCAGGCTCCAGAGTAGCTGGGTCTATGGGTGCCAGCTACTATGGAGTGCAATGGTGCCATCTTGGCTCACTGCAACCTCCTTCTTCCAAGTTCAAGTGATTCTCCTGCCTCAGCCTCCTGAGTACTTGGGATTACAGGCACATGCCACCACACCTGGCTGGAATTTGAAGTTCTTTCAGTCATCTTTGTCTTTTGATCCATGTTTTAGGATGCGTGTGAAGTCAATGTAATTGAAGTTCCCCTTTTTGTCAATAGGTGGTTCTCTGTACAGCTCATCCACTTCCTCATCCATAAACTGATCCCCCATGGCTGTCAGCAGCTCTCTCAGGTAATCTTCCTGAATGGTGCCAGTTGCTTCTTCATCAAAACAAGCAAAAGCATTTCTGATGACATCTTCAGGATCTGTGCCATTTAACTTCTCACCAAACATGGTGAGTAACATGGTGAAATCGATGGGGCCTGGAGCCTCATTCATCATGGCATCCAGATACTCATCAGTTGGATTCTTCCCCAATGAAGCAAGCATATCATGCAAATCTTCCTTGTCGATGAAACCATCTCTATTCTGATCAATCATGTTGAAGGCCTCTTTGAACTCCTGAATCTGTGACTGGTCAAACTTAGCAAACACATTAGATGTTGCATGCTGACGGTGCTTCTTGGTGGTCTTGGTCTTAGCTCTTTTGCTTGACATGGTGGTAGTTAAATCCCCACACAGCTGCAAGAATCTGAGCACCTCAGTAAACCCTTCCCTGCAGCTATCCCTAGCTAGGTATTTCTTTACAGCAACATAAGAACAAATGAATACATGGCCCTTCAAGCATTCTGGCTCATGCTCAAAAATGCGATCCAAAGATTTTTATTTTTTGAGTTCCACAAAGCTTTGGTTATCTGAGCATTTGTAAAGTGGGAGTAGGGAGAGAGGCAGTGTTTATTTTTGTTTAGTCTGCTCCATACAAGTGTCTCCAAAGTGGAAGCCTACAAATCTTTTTATTTTAATTTTTGTAGAGACAGGGTCTCACTATGTTGCCCAGGCTGGAAATTCTGGGCTCAAGTGATCCTCCTGCCTCAGCCTCCCAAAGTGCTGAGATTGCAGGCATGAGCCACCATGCCAGGCCTGGAAGCCTACAATTCTAAAGCTACTGATGAATATATATAGAGAAAAATTGAATAAACAAAATTCTTAGAATCAAATAATTATGAGACATGAAAAGAATAATTTGAAATCTGACAGTTACATATTGAAATAAAATAAAAGCATTTATAAAGTCCTGGAAGTAATTTAAAATAAAAACAAGTTTTCCTGGAATACACAATTTAAAAAAATAAAGGAAAAACAAGTAAGAAGAATATTGGTCAGGTGTAGTGGCTCACGTCTGCAATCCCAGCACTTTGGGAGGCCAAGGCAGGAGGATCACTTGAGGGCAGGAGTTCAAGACCAGTCTGGGCATCAAAGTGAGAGCCCCATTTCTATAAAATAAAAATTTAAAAATGAGCTGGGCATGGTGCCTTGTGCCTGTAGTCCTAGCTACATTTATTTAATAATCACTGAGAATATTCTAGGCTAGTGTTTTTCAGAGTGGGTGCATGGGCAATCTGTGTCAGAATTCCTTCAGGCCTTCCTACTGAATTAAAAGCTCCAGGACCCGGAAATCCGCATTTTAAACTAGCTTTGTAGGCGATTTGGATTCACAGTAAAGTCTGAGGACTACACTGTTCTAGGCACTGTTGGGTGCTAGAACCTAACACGAAACAAGGTAGACGTGGTTCCTGACTTCCCAGTATACTTACGTAGGGGCTGGGGACAGCTCAGTGGTGATATGGGTACTAGAATAGAAGCAGGAAGATCACATAGCAGGTGCGCCTACTTCAGTCTGAGGCGGGTACCAAAGTCGAAACTGGAGGAGGGATCTGCATCTCTAGAGAGGTCTGTACTTCAGAGAAAGATGGGAGTGTGCTCCCTTCAGCTCGTGGAGACGTAGGGCAGCCGTGGCCGTGAACAAAATGGCCAGGGGGAGGGCATCGTGTCTACGGACCGAATTGTGAAGGACCCCAAATCATCCAGCCTTCCATCCCCAAGATATCCGACTTCGCCTTCGCTGGCCCTTTCGCCAGTCCCTGATGCCCCAGAGAGACGCTTAGTGGAGCTATGCCCGCGCCCAGGGTCGCGGAGCCGCGCACAGCCACCCTCTGGCTTCGGAAGATTCTTCCGACACTCCGCCTCCCGGAGCAAGGCTGGGAGGGGATTTGGCCGCGGCTTTCCCCAGCTGCCCGGAGAGGCGCCGGACTTGCCCGCCCTGCGTGATGACGTCAGCACGCCGCGCGGTGAGAGAGGAGCAGGCGCCGTGGGCCGGCAGGCGCGGGGGCTCCAGTAACCCGGACTGGGCGGGGGAGAGGAAGGGGCGGGGCAGGGAGTCCGCCAGAGTGCGGGGTTGCGGTCCGGACTCCGAGCAGGAACCCTGGAGACGCTTAGCACTCGCCGCTTCTCTTAGCAGGCCCTGCCCGGCCTGGCGATGGAGTTTCCGGACCTCGGGGCTCACTGTTCGGAGCCGAGCTGTCAGCGCTTGGGTGAGGGGCGGAGCGCGCGGGGGGCGGGGTCCAGCGGAAAGGGACTTCGACCCACAGGTGGGGAGGGAAGGGTGGGCTTCCCGGCTGGCAAGGCCGGGGGGCGGGGCTTGAAGTTGGGGGCGATGGCCGAGGGGGCGTGGCCAAGGAGGTAATGGGCTTGGGAAGGGGCGGTGTGTCGCAAATAGCGTGGCGTTTTCCTTCCCCTGAGTGGAAGGCTTGGGTGAGAGGGAAGGACATCGAGGTCCCGCTGGACCTGCAATCTGACCAACTCTCTGCAGATTTCCTGCCGCTTAAGTGCGATGCCTGCTCGGGCATTTTCTGCGCAGACCATGTGGCCTACGCCCAGCATCACTGTGGATCTGCTTACCAAAAGGTGAGGGGGCGATCCTCAGGGTGAAAGCGGGCAGATGGAGAATACGTGTAGAATCCCCCAAATCTGTGTCTCACATTCCTCCTCTTTTGTCTTTCTGAGGCTGTCCGTGCTGGGGAACACTGTTTTCTTGAGCATTTGTGGGGTCATAGCTAAGTTCTTTCAGGACCAGAGATTTGTTGGACTGGAGTAGACTACAGACTGACCCTTGCTCCTTGACTATAGGATATCCAGGTACCTGTGTGCCCTCTCTGCAATGTGCCTGTGCCTGTGGCCAGAGGGGAGCCCCCTGACCGTGCTGTGGGAGAGCACATTGACAGAGACTGTCGCTCTGATCCAGCACAGCAAAAACGTAAGGTAAGCACTGTAGGAGTCAGCCACAACCCAGCTGGGACTATAGATGCCTGGAAACCCAAATAGTCGAAGAATCTTAGCAGAAACAACCTTCTCACTTCACCTCAGATCTTTACCAATAAGTGTGAGCGCGCTGGCTGCCGGCAGCGAGAAATGATGAAACTGACCTGTGAACGCTGTAGCCGAAATTTCTGCATCAAGCACCGGCACCCATTGGACCATGATTGCTCTGGGGAAGGGCATCCAACCAGCCGGGCAGGGTAATTGCAGCCAAGTCCTCTACTTGGCTTTGGGACCATCGCATTCTTTTGGAACTAACTCAAGTTCTGTCATTACAAATTGGGGAGCTTCAACCCCATCCCTGTCGGCTAGGGGAGCCTTTTAGCTTCCTTTTCAAGTGCATGTTTTTCCAGAACTCTTCACTTCCTGGGTAAGGCTGGCTCTTGGAGACATGTCAAAAATATTTCTTTCTTACAGCCTTGCTGCCATCTCCAGAGCACAAGCTGTGGCTTCTACAAGCACCGTCCCCAGCCCAAGTGGAACCTTGCCTTCCTGTCCCTCTCCCAGCAGGTAGGCCTGCCTGTTTCCCTGCTCCCCGTTTTTCCCCTTCACACCTCTGACTTCTACCTCTTCAATGTCTGTCGTAGAGCCACAACCCGATCTCCATCCTGGACAGCCCCTCCAGTGATTGCTTTGCAGAATGGCCTGGTGAGTTGGGCAGAGGTTGGATGGGCAAAAACAAGCACACACAGAGTGAAGTCCAAGGACGCTGGTCTTCTTTCTCCCTTTGCAGAGTGAGGATGAAGCTCTGCAGCGAGCCCTGGAAATGTCCCTGGCAGAGACCAAACCCCAGGTTCCAAGGTACCTTAAATCTCTCGTGAAAGAGAGACGGCAAGCTGTAGGCAAAGGCTTGATGTGGAGGGAGGTAGGTGAGACCACTCTGACACAATGCAAGATAGTCGCTAGCAATTGGGCTCAAAATTAAAATGAACCATATGATCTTTATCAAGTTATTTAACCCATGGAGCTTTCATTTTCTCTATAAAATAGGGACAGTACTAATACCCACTACGTAGTGTGGCTGTGAAGATTGACATCATCCCTGGCAGAGCTTAGCACCCTGAGGCCTGACACATACAGATCATTATGTTCAAATTTTAGATCTTACCATCATCTAACTTAAGCCATTCCTCCCTCCCAGTTCTCAGGAGGAAGAAGACCTAGCTTTAGCACAAGCACTGTCAGCCAGTGAGGCAGAATACCAGCGGCAGCAGGTATGAGGCTGAGATGAAGATGGATGCTGCAGCAGGAGGAGGAAGTCGGGGTTGGGGTTCTTCTAAGTGGTGCACAGTTTTGGAATGGTGGTTGTCATTTGGTTTTCAGTATGACTCCAGCCCGTGCTGAGCTCTGGAATGAGGGCTGTTCCCTCATTTCCTTGACGTTGCACCCTGTCTTCCCCTTCTTCTCCTTGCCCTAGGCGCAGAGCCGCAGCTCGAAGCCGTCCAACTGCAGCCTGTGCTAGGGCCCTGGGCTTGGGGAGGGAGGTTCACCTGAGAAGGACTGTGGCCCTCACACCTCTAGGGTACACAGCGAGAGGAGGTCCGGAGCAGCCTGGAGGGCAGAGACAATCGGGAGTGATGTGGAGGTCGCCCTGGGAGCCTCTGGAAGGCCTTGCTAGAGCTCCAGCTGCATGGGAGAGAGTGGCTAGCAACTGTTCCCTGGCTGGGCCCTTGGTGGAAGCTGGCCAGGCCCTACTCTCAGCCCCTTCATCATGTCATCTCCGTTATACTGGAGCTGCTCCCATGTGGTGTGGGCAGCAAGGGGCTTAGAGAAAATAAAGAATCTTGGCAGTTGATAAGACATACAAGTGGTGTGTGTCTCTCTCCTCTTCCGCCTCAAACAGAAAAGTCGTGTCCAGAATACTCTCCTGACTTATGGGTAGAGGCCCACCGCAGTACCCCACCCCACAAAGCCACAGTGATCCTCGCACAGTCCACATTTTATTTCTCCAAAAAGTGCTTTTCTGAAAGGTCCCTTTCCCTTTTCTTACAGCTAGCACCATACCCCACCACCAGGACAAAATAAGCCAGGGAAAGGGGATACATCTTATTCCCTTCTGGGTTAGTCTTTGAGAAGGATGTGGCCAAACTTTTGTCACCATTCCATGGTCTGAGGCTTAGTGTCTTCAGAGGCTTCTTCCTGTCCCTGCTGCTGCAGCCGCCACATGTCAGCATACACCCCACCTCGGGACAACAGAGCCTCATGCCTGGGGTGAGAAGGAAAGTGTGAGTTCCAACCATTAGTTTTACCCCAAGGGTCCTTGCCACCAGCCCACAGAGAGGACAGGGGATGGGCAAGGGAGGTCCCCTCTAGAAGCCCTTGAGACTTCACACCCCTTTTCCGGAGCCCCCA